CCCTGTCCCTCCACCCTGGGAGCAGAAGTGGAAGCTGGTGGGGGGAGACCCTGCTCCATGGCTCTCCCACATCTGTGCCACTGCTCCTGCTTGGGGACCTGGGGGTGATGGTGACCCCTGACCTACTGTACACTCGGTTCTCCTCACCCCCACCTGACCTACTGTACATCCGGGTCTCCTCATCCCCACCTGACCTTCTGTACACCCGGGTCTCCTCACCCCACTTGACCTATCCACATATAGACAGTTTTCCAGCCTTTAGTGCATCCCACTTCCAGTGTACTCTAAGACACTAAAAGCCAGATATTTCCTTAAATGAGCTATTTAAGTAAGTGGGGTCCTCAGATTCAGGAGCGTGACCTCTCACCTCCTCTCCCCAAAACACCATCCAGGGAGAGTCGTTCCTCTTCCAGCTCCTGAAGGTGCTGATTAAAACATGATGGGACGAGGATTAGGTGCTGGCTGGGGTGGAGTGTGAGGGGGTGGGCTGACGCTCCCTGGAATAGTGACGCTCATCTCTAGGACAGCTAGGAGAGAGTGGCCACTTTACCCCAGAGCCTGCTGTATATTCCTGTCCTTAAATCATTGCTCTTTTTGAGTTATGTTCCAAATAGATATTTGTTGGAAAAAAACTGGTTATAATAATGCTTTCTAATATTTAGGAAGAACTTGAAAGGGTATGGGGAGTATAATTTATATTTTATTGCCTAAAGTATTTTCACACATAGCTTAATGTTTGATTCTTAGCAGCAAAATCGAATGTAGATAGAATAGAATTGTTCAGGTGTTTGAGGCCCAGAGCAGCCACGTGACTTGCCAAGAGTCCCTCTGAGGGGCTAGTCCTGGCCGAGGTCTCACCAGCTGTGTTCCCTTTCAGCCTGGAAGAAGGCCCAGCTGTACGGGGGTAAGTGACTGAGTATCCTCTGGCCTTCCCTACCCGCCGTGGCCCTGCTCTTCTCCCTCAGGGTCTCTGCACTAGGATGGCTCAGGCTCTCCTCCCTCAGGGTCTCTGCACTAGGATGGCTCAGGTCCTCGCTGTCCTCCGTCAGAGACTGCAGGGAGCACAGCTCTGCCTCTGCTCGGGGCTCTTCCTTGGGAGGGCACTGTTAGAGTTAGCAACGTTCTCCTAAAACACCTTGTTCAACTGCTACTTCTTCGTTTTTAAAAATTATTTTTGCTCTCGGACACATGTGCTTACTGGAGACTGATAAATAAGAAGGACATTGAGAAAGCACTCCCTGTGGGGGCGTAGCTACATGGCAGTCCCTTCTTCATTCTTCTCTCAGGATTTTGGCAGGCACTCACACACACCCGGTGTCTTTTTCAAGCCACCAGCATCTATTTTAAATGCAGTTCTTTAATGACTTTCTCTGATATTGCCCAACATCTTTGTCCTTCTCTGGGCATCTATTTTCTTGAGCTTGGCTTATTCCAGGAATTTCTGACACAGTTCTTTTGAATTGAGTGTGTTTGAATTTATTATTTCTCTTCTGTTTCATTAATCCAAGTCCATCGGCTTCTAATCTCAGGAATTTGTCAAAATCTCTGCCATACCAATGATATTATGACTTGTTTACAAGCATCAGTATAGATTCATGCTATCTTTTTTCTGTGTTTGATATTAGGAGCAGAGGTTTCGTCTTTTCTCTCTCTTTCTTTCTTTCTTTCTTTTTTTTTTTTTTTTTTTTAAGGTTTTTGCGATCAGGCTCGTGTGCTTGCCAGAGAGGAGAGAGACAGTGAGAAGGAAAGTAAAAAGTCATCCCTCAGGGGGATGGCCTCCCCCAGATCCTTTCTCCTCTATTCTTCTCCTGAAATCTTGGCCATGCAGACACAAGCTCCTGGCATGATTTTCAAGACATTGGGTCTGGGACTTGAACTAAGGTTGACCCTGTGGGATCCACCTCTCTTAACCACTGCGCCACCTGCTGGCCCTAACTGCTACTTCTTGTTGGTGCAGTGACAATGAGAGTCCTGCTGTGAGGAGAGTTCAGTGTGAAGGTGATGACTGTGCTCAGGAGTTGCTGGTCCCAGAAAGTTCTAGAAATTACATTCCAGGGCTTAGGATGCAGGGCTTCCCGCAGGGGCCCTCAGTTCTGGATCTTACCTACCCTGAAAGTTCTCTCTCTTATGTATCTAGTTTTGATTTTTCTATTTCTTCCTGGTCCTCTGGGATTTTGGTCTTCTGTCTGTTTTCTCAAGCTCTGACTTTCTGTTCGAGATGAGTGTCTTCCTCTAAGCCTCCCTGGTTGCTGAGGAGTCAGTTACTGGAGAGCAGGTGTTCAGAATCTAGGGTATTGGCCTTCAGTACACTTATGGTCCTGAGGTGAGTTTGTAATTTTTTTTTTTTTTACAATTGTTTTCTGTCATTTTAGGAGAATTCTATTTTTCCTGAATGCTCGGCACTTGATTGTGTTTATTTGGGGAAATGTGTAGAGATATTAAAATTATTGACCAGAGAAAGGATGGAGAGCAAGTCAGGGGAGAAAAGACTAGGCTGGGAGGAGGGCAGGGGAGGACTAGGAACGCAGAGTGCCTGGGACCAGCTTTGCAGAGGTTGGGTTCCTGCTGTGTTGGGAGAGACTGCAGGGCACAGCCAGAGTGGTTTGACTAGAGTCGGGAGTGCTGGGAGGGTTCGCAGGTTATTTGGGTGCAAGAAATGTAACCGACTCCTTGATATATTGTTGAGAGAATTTAGTAAAGACTTTTATTTATTTTTAATTTTTAATTTTTATTTTTTTTAGTTTTTCAATAGTATGCATGCAGTTGCCAGAGAGAGACAAACACAGAGAGAGAAAGGGTAAAAGAGATATCACACCCCAGGGTGGCTGGCTGCAGTGCAATTCCTTCTCCTCCATTCTCTTCTCATGATTTTGGTACACGCACATGTGCCCAGCGTGTTTTTCAAGATGCTGGGTCCAGGACTTGAACCGCCATCAGCCATGTAGTAAGGAGTGCCTTAACCACCACGCCACTTGCGGGCCCTCTTTATTTGTCTTAATTCATGATAGAGTTTGTTTGTGTGTGTGAGGGAAGGAGAGAGTGAGAGAAAGTGAGAGAGACAGATGAGCACCTCTGCAAGATCTGGCCGTGCCCTTTCTCCAGTCCTCCTGCCCATCAAATCTTGGACACTTGCGTGCATGCCCAGCATGTTTCAGGTTCACCAAAGTGGGGATCTGAACTGTGGTGCCATGTGGGATCTGGCTTTTTTGAGTCTCACATCACTCCTGCTCTATAGAGTTGGTCCAGAGTCATATTTATTTTAAGTCTTTTTTCTTTGTTGTCTTTTTCTTTTGTTTTTAGTTTGCTATAGCGCATGTGGACTCGCCAGAGACAGAGAGAAACAGAGAGAGACACAGAGAGACAGCACTTCCCGGGGGGGATGGCCACACCTCAGTCCCTTCTCCATTCTCCTCTCAGGATTTCGGGCACTCACGCACGTGACCAGCTACCAGGTCTGGGACTCGAACAGTGCACTTGGCTATGTGGGACTTGGCAGCCTTAACCATCAGCCAGCCCAGCTTTTAAGCCACTTTGAAGTGTGAGGAGATGTGAGGAGAAGGTGCATAGAGAACCACCTTAGAAAGTCTTATTAATTCTTTTGAAGATTTGTTTATAAAAAAATGAGAATCAGATAGTCTTCTTTTACCATCTCTCTCTTCTCTGATGTATTAAAGGCTTTCTTTCTTTTTAATATCTTTTTCTTTTTTCTTTTTTTTTTAGAGAGATTTTTACTATAGGGCATGTGTGCTTGCTGAGAGACAGAGAGCTAGAAATCATACCCTAAGGGGAATGGTCACACCAAAATTCCTTATCCTCCAGTCTCCTCTTGGGATTTTGGGCACTCATGCACATGTGCCGGGTGTGAGTTTTATGCCACCAGGTTCAGGACTTGAACCACGGTCAACTGTGTGGGAGCCCAGCAATGTAACCATTACACTGTCTGCTAGTCCCTCCTCCTTCCTCCCCTCCTCCTCCTCTTCCTCCTCCTCCTTCTTCTTTTTAAATTTTTTTTTTTTCTATTGCCAGACAGCATGTGTCCTTGCCAGAGAGTAAAAGTGAGAGTGAGACAGAGAGAGGGCCTTGGGATAACAGGGGAGGGGCTCCCAGTGCTTTTCTCTTCGTCACTTCAGGTCCTCCCCTTCCGTCTTCAAAACCAGCAGCACAGATCATCTCTGCACCTGCTTCCCTGATCACGGCTACTCTCTGACCTCACTAAGAAAGGTCTCTCCCTTCAAAGGCTTGTGATCAGTTGGGCCCATCTGGGTAGTACAGGACAATCTCTCAGCTTTTTTTTTTTTTTTTTTTAATATATTTTTTGCTATAGGGTGCATGTACTTGCTGGAGAGACAGAGAGAGACAGAGAGACAGAAAGTGAGAAATCATCCCCCAGGGGGGATGGCCATGCTGCAACCCCTTGTTCTCCATTCTCCTCTTGGGATCTTGGGTACACATGCATATGCCCCCTAGTGAGTTTCAAGCCACAGGGTCCTGGACTCAAACCATGGTTGGCCATATGAGAGTCCAGTGATGTAACCATTATGCCATCTGCTGGTCCCCAATCTCTCATCTTAAAGTCCAAATATATTTTTTAAAATTTTATTTATTCATTTGTTTTTAATTTGACAGAAAGAGAGAGAGAGAGAAAGAGAGAGAGAGAGA